GTCCCTACAGCCTCTAGAAGGAACAGAACCTTCTATTTTAGCTTTGTAAAACCAAATTCTGGCTCAAACGTCTAGAATTATAGCATGATACATTTGTACTGTGTTAAGCCAGTATATTTGTGGTTGTAGAAAGCTACAAGAAACTAATATGGTCCTCTCTACTGAATTTATTGATGTGTGTGGGATTTATTTCTCCTAATATGATTTGATCAGTAGTCTCTTGTAGGGTGATGCTTTCAATGAAGATAACCTGACTTCCATTTTAGTTTCCACCTCAGGTGTTTAGGTTTTGTTTGATTTAGATGAAGCTCAACAACTGAGCACTAAGAAGATATCAAACATCCCGTAAGTGCTTCTTTCAGTCCTCATACTCATTCTATGATCTAATAGAGTGTGATTATTAGCCCATTTGCAGATGGGAAGACTGGGGCTCTGGAAGCCTATGCATCCTGCTCAAAGTCATCTACTGACAGATGGGGTGGTCTGACATTCTACTGCACCACCCCCAGGGAGAATTGGGCCTAGCAGCTAGTATGAGCAACATGGCAGGTGCCCAAGTGAGCAGACATAGGCCTGGGTCTGAGCAGGCTCTCAGTCCCCCTCTACTGCCCCAAACCTGTGGCCATGGGCCCCAGAAACAAGACCTCCTTGTGGTCAGAGAAGCCCTTTGGCCTAGAGTTACCAACTTTCTTCCAGTTGCTCACCAAGAGTCTGGTGGTCATTATGACCCCCTACTGTAAGGGAGCTCCTCAATATCCTCATCAGACAGTGAGCATGGAAAATGGGGGAGACACAGTCAATATCCAGAAGCCCCCCAAATGCCCTCCCATGCCACACACAAGCAATTGCCACAGAATCATACGCTCATCTTCTGAATCTCCATCTTCTAACTGAACTGGTGAATGCTGTAGTGGCCAAGACCTTTCCTGGTGGACAGTCACTTAGACCAAGCTTTGATTTTTCTTTTGGGGGTCTCAACAATCATTCCAGCTACCTTGGAAAGGTGGTGTGCAGAAAATGAACCACTCTGGGCCGACAGTCGGGGGGACATGGTAACGTCTAGACGCAATGGGTCTGTGTTTGCTCTGTGACTCCTCACAGAAAACATGACACATTGAATGGTTTACCTTCTGTCACAGTAGACTGGCTCCCAGGCTCCGCTCCTTGCTTTATACTCATCCCCAGGCTCTTATAGTCAGAACAGCAACCAGACCCGTGCAGAGAGAGAGAGTGATAGCTCTAGCTTTGTATTAACTTCTTGAAAAATAACTGTGGGGACAGAAGTACCAATACGTTAGATGAGAGTGGAGGACAGCTTGCCAACATCCCACACTTAGACTTTGTGTTGACATTAGCTTTTTGCTCCCCTCCTTTCAATCTTTCTAAATCAGGCACCTTCCCTGCTTTCTTCCTAAAGTTATTCTGTCCTGAAAAGTTGGAACAAGATAATTAGTAGCTCATTGCCGTAGAGCAATGATGTTTTTACTTATTAGGCTGTGTCTGGCCAAGAAGAAGAAAGGATCCTTTAATCAGAACAGCCTTGCCTGATGAGATAAAATCCAGAGACCAGCAGAGTGGGCCTTCCTGTGCACGAACACATATGAATTGGGGAGGAGGGGGGAAGGGTGGGAAGGCCAGGGGGACGCAGACGGACTTCCCTGTGGTTTCCATCCTCTTCTGCCTGCATCCTAGAGAGATGGCAGCAGACCCACCATCTGCACTCATCTGTCTCCCCATAGCATGTTGCTCTCCCCAGGACCACACAGAGAGGCACACTGAGTACAGTGCTGGTGAGACAGGCTGCTGTCCAGATTGTCAGCCCAGGAAGATTGTCCCAGTAGGCTGACTTTTCAGTCTGCAATCTGTAGCTGCTCTCTGCTTCTCTGGGACCAGGCAGACTGGTTCTGAGAAGGGCTGGTTTTGTTGGGATAGCTGGGAGCCAGGAACCCACCAGCTATAGAGCCATCTCAACCCATCAGGCTACCTCTCAGGTAGAGGGCATGGCTGATGCTTGTACTCCTAGAGAGGCAAAGATGCCCTGCCGGCACCAAGAAGGCAGAGAAAAGAGAGGCAACAGGGCAAGAGAGTTAGGAGAAAGCTTCCTGGCAGAGAGCTGTGCTCAGTTAACCAGGAAAAAGCATTTGTAGCCTTGTTGCCTCTGCTGTGCGGGGCATGCTGCGGAAGTCATCCACACGTGACCGCAGAGCACTGTCCAGCTGCTGAGCTGCCATGAGACCTGGGTGCAGAAAGCCCACCTGTCAAGGCACAGGGTGTGCTGATGATTGTTACCCTCCCTGACTCTGGAGACACCACCTGTCAAATAAGTCTGTTTTCCCCATGTGTGTGCACAGTCAAGATTGATGGAAAAGGAGTTAGACTTGATGCAATGAGAGAAGAGTTCTAGGGTCCCTTCCCACCTGGGATCTTAAGAGATTCCTTTGACCCCCTAGAACCCTGAAGCTTTCTTTCTGATTCCATCCTAGTTACCCTTCTCCTTGCTGAGTCTGTTCTACTTAGATCTGTTTCTTCCTCCCCAGCCCCTTTCACACACACACACACACACACACACACACACACACACTGGTACACAGGAACCAGTAGATTCATATTAGGGGAATTGGTTTTCATTTGTCCTCTCTGAAATCCTGCCTTGTAGGTTTGGGGAAGCGAACTCAGAAGTCAACATTTTTGAAGGTCTCTGGCTAGCTTGTCTGGGGCTCCCAGCTATGGATTATGCAGCACCATATGAACATGGGGGTCCCCAGAGATGAGAACTTCGTGGGTTTTCCATTTGTGCTTATACAATTCCCTGGAGGTTTGAGGGGACTTGTCCTGATCCTACTTCCCCAACTCCAGCCACTGAGCCCTGGTATTTGTCAGAGAAAGCCTAGGCTGCCATGTGTGGGTAGTCCTGCTGCTCTGTGCTCAAGACTCGGAGCTCTCCTTGGATTTTGCTGGAAGTAGTTGGTGAACGCTGTCCTTCTTTGAGAGTGTGCCTCTCTGTCCCCTAAAAATCTGCCCACTGACTAGAACTATGAGTGTGGAGTCAGAAGGAATCATCTAGTTTAACTTCACCCCATTTTATAGATCAGGAAACTGAGACCAACCCTGCTAGTTACTCATGATCAAAAACCAAATCCCCTGATTCTACTGTTTCTCTTACACTACTCTTCCTTTGCAAGTTGGATACCAATCCTTACTTTAGCTGCATAAATGATGTTAGTTGCTGAAGATAACATTGTAGGTAGGTCAAGGTTAGCCCTGAGGTCATAGCCTGTTTAGCTCTTATAAGTACAACCTGCAAGGTTAGAAAGGAACAGATGGGAGGGGGACCGGAGAAAACAGGGAAAAGGAAAAAGGAGGATGGAGAAAGCAGGGCACAGAAGAATGTGCATAACTTGTTGCTCCTCAGTCATTTTCCCGGGGCCCATTTCTAGCCAAGTGACACCTGCAGCTCCCTGGCAGTCTGAGAACCTGAAACACCCCCCTGGGTAACAGGTGAATCGGGCTTCATCTTCACTTGACTAAGTCTTCCCTGAGCCAATGCCAACTGCATTCACAAGAGCAGGATGCCCATGCACACTGAGAGCAGCCTCCAGTGCCCCAAAGCCATGCTTCTTCCCATCCTACCTGCCTGTCTTCTGGGGATGTCATTAAACATCGTGCAGGAACAAGTCTGGAGAAACCCTCTGCAATTCAAGTCTGAGTTCTGTCCTGTCCTAGAGGGCATATCCATGCATAAGAAAGAAAGGGGGAGACCTGCGCTGTTTGCATTTGGCTCCAGGTCTGCCAAGAAGGGTCTGTGCTCTTGCAAGGATCACTTTCAACAGGACATGAAGATTTGACCTTAAGCAAGTCTTTCTTAGAGATGAGTTTTCAGATCTCTCCCCTTCTAACAATATTATTAGAACTTCTCAGGCTGCTTGCTTCTCCAGAATCTCAGTTTGTTTTTCAGACCTCCAGATAGTGATCAATGCCCCATAATGGGCTCACCTGGTAAGGAGAGAGAAATGTCTTCAGCTTTCCCAAACAAGTGATTTCAAAGATTAAGACTGGCTAGGCACCAATGGCTCACCCCTGTTATCCTAGCTTCTCAGGAGGCAGAGATCAGAAAGATCACAGCTCGAAGCCAGACCAGGCAAAAAGTTCGAGAGACTCTATCTCAAAAAACCTTTCACAAAAAAAGGGCTGGTGGAAGGGTTCAAGGGGTAGGCCCTGAGTTCAAAACCCAGTACCACACACACACACACACACACACACAAAAGGTAAAACCTATGCTCTGCTGGTCTGTGTTCATCCAAATGGAGAGACTCTTGGAACTGGGATACCAGTATTCTCTTGGAACGACCACAAGGTTGGGTAGGGAATTCAGTTTGAAACATAAAAATGTTTTGGTTGATTAAAATTTTAATTTAAATAAATAGAAAAACAAGCATCTTCAGAAAGGAGACTTTGCCTTTTATTTCAATTTCAAAGTTTGATTTATGATGACTGAGGAAAAACATAATGGTCACCTACAGGTGCCCTTTGGGGTTATGAAATAGAAGTGCTGGAAAAGCATGAGAAATTTAACACACACATACACACATCCTACAGATAAGGACACTCAGACCCATACAGGAGATGAGACTGGCTGGGGAGGTGGCAGGCTCAGACCCAGTGCTGGGGCAGGTCTCTCTACTCCTCCCACCTCCCTTTCTGGAACGCTGTCAGGTTTCCTGTGCATATGATGAAGGTCAATTCTTGGTGAATTATGTTTTCTAATCTCACTATTGAATGTGCTGCTGCGGTCTGGTTTCCCAGTTGGTTTGCTGCAGGTATTGCCAACTATCCAGAACGTTCTACAAGGCTGAAGAAGAGAAGCTCCTTGCCTATGAAAGGCAGTCATGATGTAGCAAATTATGTTCTGAGAGGAGGATGTTGTGCCTGTGAAGTCTTCCTGGAGAGGGCCTAAGGGAAGTGAAGTACTGCCTGACATATATGTGTACATCTCATTACAGAGTCATCAGCTATGAGTGCTGCCCCGGATATGAAAAGGTCCCAGGAGAGAAGGGTTGTCCAGCAGGTGAATGAGCCAGGCCTTGCCAGTGGGTGGGATGGAGGGGCAAGGTAGAAGAGAGAAGTACCCATCCAAAAGGCGGCAGAGTCTGAGCATGGGTCCATGGGATGAGAATGAGTTGGCATTCTTGAATGTGCACACCAGCCTCTAGGCCCATGTGGGGGTGAAGGGTGGGAGTTGGAAACTTTGCATCCCCTGAGCTAGCCCTTCTGACCGTTCCACAAGCTGGTGGAACAGAATCCCACTGTGACCTGCCCAGCCTCTTCTGAGCAAGTGCAGACTCTGGCCTTGTTTTGTACGGATGGAAGTGGTTCTCAGCACATGCAACACAGTTGGCCTGGCAGCTCATTAGTTTCCCATAGCCCTGCTAGAGATCAGATGGAATCTCTGGCTGAACTGGGAGCCCCAGACCATCCCCACTTCACTCTTTATCTGAGCTTGGCCTCCTGGAGTACAGCAGGAGGAGAGCAGCAAGCCAGACAGCTCATTAGTTTCCCATAGCCCTGCTAGAGATCAGATGGAATCTCTGGCTGAACTGGGAGCCCCAGACCATCCCCACTTCACCTTTTATCTGAGCTTGCCTCCTGGAGTACAGCAGG